CTTGTATTTGTTGTGGTAATCAACATGTGTCCGGTAAGGTTGTGTTGATTTAAAAAAAAAATTATTTAAAAGTATATTGAAAAAATATTTTTAATTTTTATATTAGTATATTAAAATTATAAAAACTGTTAAAAATATATAAATTTAATATTTTTTCAAATAAAATATATTTTTAAAATGTATCAATATAGCACGTACAAATATTTCCAAGGTTTGCATCCTGTAAGAGGGATGCAGGTCGTTTAACAATTTCACTGTCCACTGCATGCACGAATTGCCGGAAGTTTCTTCATTTTCTTTTTTTCTTTTTTTTCGGGCCACCTGCCGCTGCCTGCTTGGCGGCGTATTGCCGTAGAAAGCTGGAGCATGCATAACTTTGTTTTTTTTGTGTTTTTTTTATTCGGTATCTGCTACAAAATTAAAAGGTAAAGATAAATTATACCTGAGTAGTAATTATAAGCGTAATGTTAGTTTTAAAATTATTTAATGTGATAACAAATTGAAAGTTGAATTGTTTATGAATAAAGAAAAAAATTAAAATATTAGTAATGATTATAAATTTCAATGTAAAAAGGGAGAAAGGGAGAAAAAAGAAATAACAAATTGCGAAGGTTAAAAAAAATTAACCCTTGGAGATTTAATTCTAGTCTTCAATAGTACCCATTTAAGGATAATATAATTACCCCTGAATTTTAACCATGTCTAGAAGAGAACCGGGCAAGCTTAAGAGCAACTCCTACATGCTAAATGGAGAGTCAAAAATAAAGCAATAAAAAAACAATATTTTAGCTTCTTCTTTTTTTTCTTTTTTTTCATGCTTTCAGGGGAAGTTAAATAAAATGTTAGCATTCCTCTTATAAAAAAATATTATTCTTACGTATCTTTTTAAAATATTAAATACTATTCATTACAATAGTATTTTTTATTTATTTTAAATATATATTTTTTCTATAAAATCATAAAAAATACAAATAATAAAAATATATGAAACAACATATAAAAAAACAAAGATGTAATTGTATTTGTATTTGTGTTTAGTAGTGATGTACAGGATATAATTATTTCTATGTCATATTCGGTCATGATCAACACAAATATGATAAAATATAAAGAAAAAAATATAATTTACCATTAGCATGTATTTTTTTTTTATCAAGCTTGCATATTTTGTTTTTTTTTTTAAATAAATATTTTTTTTTTAATTTATATTAAAAGTTGAGATTAATAACATTATAATAACTTTAATTATAAAACTAAAATTGATTTTAATAAGTTCATTCAAAACTAGGCATATCTATAACCTAAACTAGTATGATTTTAAGAAAAAATAAAGGGAAAATTATTTGAACTCCCTTGATTGAAAACTCAAGTTGACATGAAATATAGCATGAGTGAAAAAATTATCAATTTTTTTATAAAAAAAAATTAATCAAAACAAGGTTATTTTATTTTATTTTTTTAAAAGAGTTAAATGGATTAACCATCTCAACTTACAACATAAACCTTGTCTCGGTTTGACTTCTAGGTTGTTTTTTAAATTATAATAATAATTATTTTTATTATTGTATTTTTTAATTGAACAATTTTTTTAATTAAAAAGTTTTTTATAAAAATATTTTATTAATAAAATAATAAATATTGTATTTTGAGAAATGTTTCTTTTCCATCTCATGTTGTTGAAAGTGCAAAAATCACTATAAAATTACCCTCCATGCAAAAAAAAATTTAAATCTGTATTCTTTTAATAAATTTCTTTTTCATTGTCTTCCCCTTTTATCCCACAGTAGGAACTAAACTCTACCTATAGTATTCCAACTAAATAATTGGCCAACAATACACCGATTTTAAATCATTAGCTACAAATTTGATGCAAGTATTTAATAAAATATAACGAAAATTGTATGACTTAATAAATGTTAAAAACATTCATCACATTAATAAAATAATAGGCCGTGAAGTTGAGAAATGAACATAAATAAAGATATGTGATCATGTCCTACCAAAAACCATTTATTTATTTTTAACTTAATTTACATGATACTGATATTGTGTATCCCAGTAGTAATAATTTAAATCCCAGCAAGATAATTTTTTTATAAAAGTTTTTGCGTTTTTTGTAAAAAAAACATATATTAAAAAAAAGAAGCACTAGGAAGATATATCCAAACAAATAAAAAAATAATAATATACATTTCTAACTAAAACCCCTTTATCTCATTGAGATGCTATTTAAAAAAAAAAAAATCAACGTAACATATGTTTCTTACACGACATTATTATTTTTTCAAAATCAAGTTTCAATTGTTAAAAACAACATCATAATAATTTTAATGCAATTGCATTAATAAATATAATGACAATAATAATACAATCATTTTAGATTGTTGTTGAAAGCTTTTTAACGGTGTTGTTAAATCCAAAATAGCTAATCATCCTCGAAACCTTTTGACTATAATCTTTTTATATGCTGGGCATTCAATTAAATATTTTTATCTAGAGGGTTAACCTACAGTAATTTAATTGATTTAATGAGTTTAAAAATAATTTAAAAAATTGTTTAGAATGTATATCAAGTAAAAAAAATTCTTAATAATATTTTTTTTAATAGGAAGATGACAATATACATATTCAATTTGAGTGAACACAACTAAAATTATAATTCGAATCATGAATTTAATTATATATAATAAAATTAATTTTTTAAAATTAATTTTTATTTAATTATATGATAATAAAATTTAACAATCCTAACACAGCAACCAAATAAAATAATAAAATATTAATTCTGATGGGTTGTAAAAAGGATTGATTGTTCAGCAATGAAGTATAAAATAAATAAAAATTAACATGACAGCACCCGAAGAATGATTAACTAATCTTCAGATTTAAAAGAAATTATATATATTATATTTTAAATTATTTATTTTTCAATAAAAAAAATATTGATTGTTGGATTTTTTAATTAAAAAAACCAAGCGCATAAGCCTGAAACCCAGACCATGCAGTTAGGCCTTTATCTTTTTTTCCCCTCAAACTAGATGGACAATGTGCTGCCAACCTATTGGTTTTTTAAAAAGCCTTCAACATGTCACTCGCATGCCTAAATCCTAGCCACCACATAAGTGGCTGGAGAATCAAGCTATAGATTTTTGGGCTGAAAGCTTAATTTTTAACCTCGTTTCACATGAAACACACGAAAAATTCTTACAATCTGAAAAAAAAAAAACCTAACTTCCGTACTAAAAATACCTGGTTAAAATACATAAAATCAACCACAAAAAAAAACTCCCTTAACCTTACTAATTCTCTCTTCTCTTAAATTTATGGATAAGAATATAAACAAAATAATATTTTAAACTAAAATATATAGCTGTCAAACTAAAGGGATGGATTTTTTTAATAAATCTCAAGGCTTAAAACGTTGACACAATTTATTTTAAAAAAGGTTATCTTTTTTTTTTAATCTGGGTTTCCTAGCTCTCAATTTTTGAATTTTTATTTTAAAAAGGATTTTTTTTAGATTATAGTAATTTTGTAAAAAATAAATATGAAGTATAATTTTTAATAAATCTAATGGTTAAATTAAAAAAAACGACGGACGGGAAAAAAAACAGATAATCCAACAGTAAAACCATTAAACCATGAGTTGAAAACTTGAAATAGATTTTTCTTTAATTCTTAATCTTAATCTGGCCCCCACCACGAGATTACGGCCCTAAAGCGCAAAAAAATAATTATTCCCCAAAATACAGAGGCCCCAAAAAAAAAACAGAGCGCGGCGCCAGACTCCACACTGGGAGGGAACGAATAACTTGACCGTCTTCTCAGCACCAACGATGAAGCGAGCCAGACCTCCACCGCCGCTCACCACCACCAAATAATCACGTACCAGTTCCATCAACCCCGCCACTCGTCCAAAAAACAGCAAAAGTTAATTTTCAAACCAACAAACCGGGCCCCACTCAACCTGACCCCGTCAGAACTCTCACTCCCGCTCACGTTCCCTACGGGCCAAACCTTCCGTTGGAAACAAACCGGTCCTCTCCAATACACATGCACCTCTCGGTCCTGGCTTAATCCCCCTCAAACACCACCAAAACGGCGACGTGTATTGCCAAATCTACCACCCCCCCTCCCAGTCCGCAGCCAAATCAGCTCTCCTCGATTTCCTCAACATCAACATCTCTCTAACCGAAATGTGGCACGGATTCTCCTCCTCTGATTCGCGTTTCACCGAATTGTCACAGCATTTGAAATGAGCTAGGGTTTTGAGGCAGGATCCGCTTGAGGGCTTGATTCAATTTTAATATAATTTTATTCGTGTTATCCATCGACAATCAGGAAATAGCAGATGATTCAGAGCCCACGTCCATTTTGAGTTTTCCTTTTCCTATTTTACGTGCACTTTTTAAATTGAATATATATATTTTTTAACCTCAATATTTCAATTTTTTTCTATCTCAAAACACTAATCGAAATGACTTAAATACTTTTACAAGGCGGACTAAATATATAGCTTATTATTGAACCATCTCTTTATTGAGGTATATACAACCATTGCTGAATCTTGAGATTTAGAAGTCATATGAGATAATCTTACGAGACAATCTGATGAGAAATTTTATGGTGTTTAAAGAGTAATTAATAATTATTTTTCAAGGCTCAAGAAGAAGAAAGTATTTTTTAAAACTCAAGAAGAAGAACAAAATATCTATAGATTGAAACATTATTAATAATTAATAATTATTTTTTAAGGCTCAAGAAGAAGAAAGTATTTTTTAGAACTCTTCTAGGAAAAAAAATTATAAATCGAAACAATAATTTTTTGATGTTTTTGCTATTCTCACTAAATCTAATAGCTCTATTGATGGGGTAATAATATTTTTTTCATGTGATTTAGTGATCATTATTAAATTGATTGGGATAAATTGATCTTTTTACTTAGCATGGTAAAATTATTTCAATCTCTTTCTCGTCTCCTTAACAACCTGTCTCCCGATTTTATTCTCTACTTATGATTTAAGACTTTATCTTACGAATACAATCCAAGTTTATACAATTAAATTTTGACGGTGAAACTATCAAGTATTCATTCTAAACCACTGAAAATTACACTCTGAACAGTATATTGATGAATAACCTGTGGATTTCCTCAGAGGAGCTGTAACAGAGGTGACACTAAAGTGTTCCTTAAGCGCACTTAGCATCAACCATCAAAGATTTTGCAATGCCTGGACATGGATCACCTTTGAAGTTCTTGGTTGACACAGGAATGGAACATCTTTCCTTACCAAGACAAGCCTGCAAAACATAGGAAATCGAAAAGATTATACTTCATCACAGATAAAAAATAACTAGAGATATTGGAGAGAATTGGAGAAAGTCTGATTAACAATATACGATTACATTTTAATATTCCCGACAACCATTAATTAGAGAAAGGAACGGAGATCTCACCTTCTCTACAGTGGCTCGAGAATTAGATGCATGGCAACTTCCAATGGCATGAGTTTCACAATCACCCGAAGGAGTTCCAAAGCTCGAGAAGAGAACGCTTGAAATCTTCCTTCCGCGTGGACAACGGAGCTGAACTTTGGGCCTCCTACCATATTTCCTTTTTCTGGTCCCGTTAATCTGGTTTTCTCCTTGCCATGAGATCACTGGCGGTGGGTGTGAAACGGACACGTGACCACATACTTTCGTAATTGACATGGTGCCTAAGGAAATTCCGAGAGGGTTTCCCCTTTCTTCTTCCAGTATAACTAATAGGTTCCCTGAAGGTTTGAGGAAAGATCGAGGTATATGGTTCCTTGAAAGAAAAAATGGTTGCCCATATTGTAAGCAAAGATTACAATCTAACTGCTACATAAATAATTCTGATCGTGTTATGCGAGAAATAAAAGAACAATTACGTTAATATTTGCATTCACGAAAAACAAATATTATTTCTAAAGCTTACCATGTCTGATAGGGATTCCCATCAGAGTCAAGAAATGAGACCCAGTATCTGCCAATGCTTCGGCCGTTAACCCAAGCTTCACCCTTGCCCATGGATGCAAGGTTCAATGCAACAGGATCATTTCCTACAGGTGCATCAAAAATACTCTGCAAGTTTGCAATAAATTAGGAGGTTGATAAGGACTAAATATAAATCTGATTCAATCAAGAATTATCATTGACCAAATTAATGTACCTTGTACCATGAGAGTGGCTGAGATGAGCTTGCATACCGACTCCAGTAAGCTTTAACGCTTGCGTTGTTTCTATGAAGTTGGATATTCTCACCTGACAACCCAACCTTGGGAAAATTATACTTGTATCAGTTTGACTTTGTACAGGAATTACATGGAATAATCGATAATGTGAAAAATATGGACCAGCCAAGGATAAGAAACCATAGAAAAGGAAGGGATTTTCATGGGAAAAAGGTGAAAATGGTTTTGATAAAAAATGATGGCAAGCCAATTTCACTAATGAGAGGAAATGTGTGTCTCAGAAAATGGAAGGGATACAGCAATATCATAAATGTTGAAAATAAAACTAAGCTCGTAAAGATTGGGATCAACTTATTTGCTAGAAGACAATTACGTACCTTGTAGCCCCATAGATAAGAAGTAAAATCATGAAGTTCGTGTTGGCGCTGAATGGTCACACGACGTAGTCCAGCAACTCTTCGTTCGAGATATGCCCCCGCATCCTTAAGGCCAATGCACAAATAAAAGTGAGTTAACATTGGGATTTTGTCGATGTAATGAAACATTCTATCACAGTCAGGTGGACCACAACCACAGTTCAAGACTGCAAGTTTATGAAGAAAAACTAAGATAGAGAAGTACCGGCAATCCAGTCATCACACTGAGTAAGGAAACATAATTGGTTCCACGCTTTAGAGGAAGAATCCTCTGCAGGATGAAACTTTTATTGTCATGACTTCCATGGGCAGATCCTAGAAAACAAGATCTATAACATTATGTTTGGGAAGTTTGATTATCAAAGAGAGAGTTCCTAATATCCCAGGAAATTCAAGCTGTCATGGTCTGTGTGAAAATTCTGTGCTTTAAAATGATTGTACTTTAAGAAAATTTTGTGGCAAAATATTTGGATTCGCATATGAGATCCTTCAAAAAATAAATAGAATGGATGTGATAACCTACCTATAAATTCTCCATTGACAAATGCATGTAAATTGTGTCCAAGGGAGTTCACCGTGAGTACAGAATGAGCATCAGAGGAATTTTGGTGAAACCTGCAGAAAAAACATTATAGAATGCAGTGCATATCAGTGCATGAAAACGTGGTTCAGGCATGTATAACAAGATTTCAGGTCTAGTTGATCTTATCATATCATCATCTTTGTTTACCTGAAAGTGTACCAAAGATAATCGGATGAATCTTTGGTTGTATTCATGTGCTCTAGTAGCATGTCTGCTCTCAAAGAACTTTTATCAAAACTAGGAATATATTCTTTATATTCTTTCCACTGTTCAATTGAATCAAATTTGTGCCTTCTTGTGGCCAATCTTGTACCATATTGCGTGCTTACCTGTCCAAAATAGAAAATTAAAAATGGAGAAGAAACGCATGATTTCTTGTTTTCCGCAGGAATATCGTATGCGAGTGGTAAAAATTAGTACTTGGGCCTGAACCATACTTGGGCAGTGTTGAAGGCAACGGTTTTGCAGTCTGGTAGGATGCTAATTGACTTTGGAGGTAATTCATACGATGACCCTTTGAAATGGACCGTGGCATTGCTTCTCCCATCATGGTTCACGAGAAATGCAGCGCAGTTGTCTGAATTTCTTTCGAATGCAAAGGCCTTCAATCAACGCAGTCGTGATATACATTTTTCACTTTGCAAGATTAAGATTACTGGAAAAAATGCATTCTGAGGAAAATAGGAAATTAAAATCGCTACAAGCTATTATACCGAGTTCTTACTTCTTGCAGTTGGCCCAGAGAGAAATTTATCCATTTTCTGGAAAGTAGAGGCTTCCTGCATAGCTTTATTGCAGCGTGTAATTCCTTCAGATGACCATGCTTTGGTTGCCTCAACAAACCTATGCACCCACTCAGTAGGTCAGATTTGTCTTTGATAAGATAAAACAGGTACTTGACATTAAACCAGAACTTACCATACTCATCAAGAGGGGCTTGATCATAATAACTTGTAGGTACATACTCAGCAGCTGTTCTTCCGAAATTGGTTCCTCCATGATACTAGAATAAAGGAATGATTTTAAGAAACCATGTATGTTGAATGATATTTTCATTTGACTTATTGACATTCAGAAAAATTGATAAATAGAGCAGGATGGTCATGAGAATGAGAAGCAAACCATATAATAATTCACAAAGCTTCCTCCCTTCGCAATGAATAGTGCAGCATGAAATGCTATGTCTTCAGCAGATCTCGATCTAGTTTCTTTACCATATGTTTGGTAGCTTCATGAGATAACAGAGTCATTAGGTGGAAGCAAGCTATTTAATAACCCTTTAAAATCGATTATCAAACAGACATGTTCTTTTACGTCGTAATTTGCTTAAAAGCCAGAAGTATAGCTAGAGAATCAGATCTGCATTGAAAAGATGACAGCATTGGAATATAATTTTTTCAAAAGCAATTTTGAAACGCAAAAACAAACAAGTTTTCAAGAAATCTTAACTCTGATAGACACTATCTCTCCTGTTCCCAGAAAGTTTCAAAAGGGTGTCTAGATGCCAAAAGAAGTAAATTTGAATGACTTGCTTTTGAGAACTGGCAGAGAATTTAAGAAAAAGGGGATCTTCTATGCCTTCCATTTTTCGTATTTGAATCAGGAAATCATATTCCAAGATAAATCCAAATTCAAAGTGGTAGTTTTATAATGAGCACAGAGGATTTGATTGACACATACACACTTGTCCAGTTCTCTGTCCATATTGCAGGCTTCCTCGGTGAATTTGGTCCTGAAAATGTTTCTCCACATCGCAACCCATTGCATGCATTTATCTGCAAATGCAATATCAGTTCATTATTTCACCAAGCCAGAGGAATTTCAAATAAATATTGAAATCTAAATTTTTGAAGAATTATTAAATCTGCTGTAGGCAAAAAGGAGACTGACCACCGGGTCAGGAGCATCATCTTGCTTGCACATTACCCAGGGAACACCAGTATGCAGCCCCACAGCCATCTTTGCTGCCCACTTAACATAAGGTGGCCCTTTCTCATGGAATGCTGCTTCAACATTTCCATATTCATTTTCAATCTACATGTTTACAACTCTAAATATCATTAAAATGGGATTGCAGAGATGTTGCAACATGGAAATAAGAAGAAAAAAAACTGCATAAATTCATGAACTGGAAACCTGTGAGAGTATAATTGGCCCTCCTTGTGAAGCATACAACTTCTCTGCTTTCAACATTTTTACTATCATCTTCGCATACCTTTCCATATGATACTGCCAGTTAACAAATGGAAATGAGCTCAGTAATTTTCTTCTTTTAGTCATCAATCACTGATTGATAAATAATTAGTAGTGCTTTTATAATACCTTGAATGGCTTGTTGTCAGAACGAAAAACGATTCCTGGTACATCATGCAGCCAAAATGGCAAACCTCTGCAAATAAATAAATATTCATCAGGTAAACACTCTTTGTCTCGACGATGAATACTGTATTTATACACAAGGGAGAACTACAATTTTTAATATATCTAATAATTTTTCCTAAATTTTCTTACCCATAAGTCCATTCACCCTCGATGAAGGGTCCGATCCTAAGACACACATAGAGTCCCTGCGCATGAACTTCTTTAATGAACCTCACCAAATCCTTTCTTCCACTAAAATCGTGCTGCATTGGCACCGCGAATGTTGGTATCAGTACAAATAATTTAGATGATACTGCGGTATTTTTATTATTTTTTAAAATTTATTTTTAATATTAATATATCAAAATAATAATAAAGAATAATCTTTTAAACAATACAGCCACGCTATGACTTTGGTTCATGTTCACAGATTAATCGATGGTCACCTGTCCTTGTTGTGGTTCGTGAAGATTCCAAAATACGTAAGTGTCGATGGCATCTAAACCTCCTGCTCTGGCCTTGGATATTAAATATGGCCACATCTGCAAATCCACGTCATCATAACATTACTAACGTAGACTACAGATCGTTCATGAGAAATTAATTTTTCCACGATATGTGACATGTCGTTTGTAATTCGAACGTGAGGCCGTGCTCTTTACGATCCAACATGTAAGACTCGTCTACGTGGATATGACTGTTGTTTGCAATCCAACAGATGAGCGCCATCTGTAAGCCAGACGTTCATGTCGGTTCAAATCCCCATTTGTTATATTTATGGATTGTGTAATCAGGTGATTGGCTCAAGAGATCTTGGTCAACGAGTTGACTGTGAACTGCGTTATTATGGTTGTTTTTAAAAGTATTTTTATTTAAAAATATATTAAAAAAATATATTTTTAATTTTTTAAAATTAGTGTATTAAAATAATCTAAAAGCATAAATAAATTAATTTAAAATAAATAAATTAATTTAAATTTTTTAAAAATATATATATAAAAAAAGAGGCCAGCAAGAATGTGGAAAAGTAATAAAACAAACTTGGGACCTTAAGGGAAATAAATATTATATCTCATGAAATTCAGCCTTCAGAATATACCGTAATGTTGAAGACAGGATTAGCTTTTATTATTATTGTTGTTATTATTATTATTATTATTATGAAATTTGTTGTACTTTATTATATTATTGATAAAATCATTTAAATTGAAATTATCATTGAATATATAATCTAATTAATTTTTTTAAAATAAATTAATTTAAATAAATCTAAATAGATTTCTTAAGGGATGAATTATTTTCTCAAAAACACACAAATATTATAAAAAACATAATTAAAAAAGTAACAATAATCAAAACATTATATTTTTTTTTTAAATAATAAGATTATATAATCTAATTAAGATCCATACAAGCTAATGCCTAATATACTTAAAGTGAAATAATTGAGATGGTTAATTTTAAAATATTTTTACTTTAATCATATAAAAGAAAAGGTTCATTTTATATACTCAAAGTTTTTTTTATTTCTTAAATAAATTAATAAACAACCTTACATATCAAATGGCATCACTTTCCATGTTTTTTTTTTTTTAAGTGTAAGCTAATATAATTCAGAATTATTGTTATAAAAATCACCTTTCACTCTAAGAAATTAAAAGATTTATCTTAAAATTCTAACCAAACATTCCTTTCAAAGCAAAATAATTAATAAAATCTGGGAGGGGAGAACAGAGTGTTCCATTTTTTTATTCAAATATAAGAACGCCAGAAATTAATGATTTCTTAGTTAAAAATATTATAAACCTTTTTTAAGAATAAAAAAGTACTCGTTTCTTTTATAATCCTCTTTTTTTAACAAATTAAAAATATATAATCTCTGGTGTTGATGATCTTCGCTTAACATTTAAAAAGAAAATTATAAAAAAATGCATATTGAAAGAGAAAAGAAATTGCTGATCCTCCAGTCTTCGGGTTGAATTCCAAGGAGGTCTAGCCAAAAAAATAGCAGTGGTGGTTAGGTTTAAAACCATTCACGCTAGAAATTGAAAGCCACAGACCAACAAGGTTTCTTGAACAGCAATTAACATATTCTTTTAAATTAATTAAGATTGTGTTGGATCGAAAGGCCAAGATCCTGTACCATCATCCTCCACGACAAAAATTATCAACAGATTAAAACAAGAGATGCATAGAAGAGAAGGATACAAGAGTACCTGAGGAGTGCTACGAGGATAGTGAATCGAACCAGAGAAAATGATTTTGTGTTTCCCATTGATGACCAAAGATCTTGAATCGTACGTAACGTTGCTGCCTCCATGAGCCATGATGACTATTGCACTTGCAGATAGCGATAAGCTCCACCATAGCATCCAACTCATCTCTATTTGCCCAACCCTACTCCTCAGTGACCAGAGAAATCTCAAGCAACTCTCTCGTCGATCCGGTATATATTCACCGGAATAAAAAAATGGTTGAAATTTACGGCACTGGAACTGATCTTTTCTCTTTGAGTATACAGGGGCGCCAGTTTATACGTGCCTATCTAAAACAGACTTCTTTTTTGCGAAAAAACCTCAATCCTTGATCCATCAATCTGCCTTGATTTTCTCTCTTTATCTCTCTATGAAAATGAAAATACCACTCGGTAGGCTTCCTAACACTTTTCGGTGGAGATGTATAGAAAATGAGTTGACAACCGAGGAATCTTACCGAATCCAGTTTCTTCCTTTTGGACCATATGGAAAATAGGTATATTATTTAAGGAAATAGCAATCTTCGGGGAATTTGAATCGTTTTCATGGATTTAATTTATTTCCCTCATGATCAAGGTTGCCTTATTATTATTATTATTATTATTATTATATATTGCTGTTTTGAAATTAAGAGAGGTGCATTATTATTAATACACTGGCATGTAATTAAATGTAATTTTTTCTTTTTAATAGGGGGGGAGAATTTGTTTAAAATAACTACAGAAAAAGAAAAGTATACTGTAAGTTTTCACTATTTCTCAATGCAAAACACACAGGATCACTTTCAGGAGATATGCGTGCCTCAACTGCCCTGTATCTCCCGGGCGGCGCGGCGTGTAAAAAAGCTCATGTACTTGATATATCTCCCGACTTTCATGTACATGATATTTTCATAGAAAAAGAGCATATTATTTTTCATTAATAATGCAACATTTGATGCCAGCAAATTTTGATGCCAAGTTGCCTCGCATTGTACAGATATCTTTGCCATTTTTTTCTAGGGTTTCTCAAGTGCTACTGAAACTAGAAGTTGAATTTGTCACATCACACAACTTATAATAAATCTCAAGAAAAAAAAAAGTTATGATAAAAAGATCCACATCCTCTTTTAGTTCATTTTTGATGTTTTTTAAGAATGTGCTCTTAGAAATACATAGACAAGATGCCAAATTTATTGAAATATTCTTTGTTATAAGAGAAATTTTACGGTATTGACATGATAACTATTGAATATTTACATAATAGAAGATAAATAATAAAAAAAGAAGAAGAGAGAAACATGAGATATAAAAACAAAGAAAAAAAGAGAAATAGAAAAGAAAATAATAATAATAAATTTAATCGGAGAAAGAATTTTCTCTTTTCTATGCTATGAATAATCAATTATTATAACTTAAGTAATATAAAATTCTTTACATTAACCATCAATAGAGAGAAATCCAACAGCAAACAAAGAAAAATGAGATTTTTTTAATTGTTTTTAGTAATAATCTTTAACAATAAAAGAAGTAAAGTGAAACAACTAAATTACCTTTAAAATTAAAATTTGTTAAACTACGTTCAAGGTTTTTTTGTATTTTCATGTTTTTTTTAATAATAATAAAATTAATTGAAGGATATTTTGATATTTTAATAAATATAAAATATAACTTGAAAAAAAACTGATTGACACAAGCATTAAACACACTAATATATCAAACATGACATTATATTTAAGCGGCGAGGGAGACCATGTATGGTGTTTGAAGACAATCTTCTTTGACGTGTTTAGAATTATCACGGCAACCCCTCCTTCTCTAGACAGAACATATAATATATCAATTATAGGTTTGATAATAATGATTTTTTTTATTTTAAAATAGTTTTTTAATTTGTTTTTTCTTATTTATTTTATTTAAAATAATCTATAAAATAATATATTTTTAAAAAATTTATCTTTATCCAAATTTTTTATATTTTAAATTTATTTTATTAATAAATTATTTTACCACTTATTTTTTAATATATATAAATTGTGGGCTGTTCTGTCTAGAGACGAGGTTCAATTGCTTGCATAAGAAGAGGAAGAAGAAATTCTAAGATTGGGTTTACTAATTAGGCCTATTGGGCCCAGCCCATATCAACTTCTTGCCTCTCCCTCAAGCCAGCCAGCATTCCACTCTATATGGAACTTCCTCTACAGAAACAGTAAAAGATCAACCCAAAGATCTCCTAAATAATCTTTCATTCTCTCCTCCTGCTCTATATTCCCCCCTCCAACACTCAGTTTTCCGATGTCGGTACGTTGTTTTCCGTTCTTCCATAAATCTCCTACCATTTCTTGTCTATGAAACCCTAATTTCTGCATGTTATTACATTTTTCTCTCTTAATTTTGTTTGGTTGGCAGATATTCGAGTACAATGGAAGTGCCATAGTAGCTATGGTAGGCAAGAACTGCTTCGCTATAGCTAGCGACCGACGACTTGGAGTTAACCTTCAAACAGTCGCTACTGATTTCCAGCGAATCTACAAAATCCACCATAAGCTCCTCCTCGGTCTCTCTGGCCTTGGCACTGACGCCCAAACTCTGTATATCTCACTCACGCATCAATTATCTTCTATTATTTTATTTTTTTATACATATATTTTTTAATATTTTTCTTGGCCTTTTTTTAGATTTTTGCATAAATTTTCAAACTTTGTGATATACGGTAAGCTTTTCGAATTGTAGAGATTTCCTTAGACTAGGCTAGGCTTTATAATTCACCGCATTAAAGACAAAAGAAAAGGATTGAGAGAGAACAAAAAAATTAATTATGCTTCATGCTTCAAGTCATGGGTTTTTTTGTGATAATTGTGTGGCGATTTGGAGGTTGGATTGATTCTTTGGTTTGTGGGCGTGGTTGTAATAATGTGTAGGTATCAGAGGCTTGTTTTCCGTCACAAATTGTATCAGCTGCGAGAAGAAAGGGACATGAAGCCTGAGACTTTTGCTAACCTTGTTTCTGCTGTACTTTACGAGAAAAGGTTTGTTCAGTCCACGCTGTGTTAATTTGATTTTAATTAGGACGAATGAAGTTTCGTTGGTGTAATAAGTAACAATATTATCGTTGGTCGCATATCAAGAATGCTTTGTGATGTTCAGGCATCACAACTAGCAGAAAGATCGATATGTTGGTAGCAGTCTGAGGTTCTCTGTGTCACATTTCATATAGAGCACTATATCGATATGTACATGAAAATGAAATGCAATTGATTCTTTCTCAGGTTCGGTCCGTATTTCTGCCAACCCATTATTGCTGGATTGGATGGTGATGACAAGCCATTCATTTGCACAATGGATTTCATTGGGGCCAAGTATGTTATACTTATTTCATATTTTCTATCTTTTGAAACTTTAGAAGCGCTTTTATGGTTCTGTCAGCAACTGGAAATTGCTATGACCCATAGTGAAGGTAGCAGATCTTTTATCTTTTTATTAGTGGATTGGAAAAACATGGAGTGCTCTATTTAATTTTTCTCTAATTTCTCCTGTTTATTTTGAGTAGTCTTGTGTAATTACTTCTTGACATGTTGGAAACTCTATTTCAAGATAAAAAAAATAATTGATGTTTTCTCTTATATTTGCTTGTCTCTCTAGCTTCTTGTTGAACCATTGACTTTTAGGTTATTTCATGTACACCGGACAAAACCTGTAACTTGTCTTGAAAACCTCGGTTATGGATGTTCTTGGACTTTGTTTTCAAAGTTGTTCACTTTGATTATTGAAATTATGTGAATGCTGTCTAGGTACATGCCATTAATTACACCACATATCTTATTGACATCAATAGTTGCCGTGTTTCCCATATAAGCAATAGCCTTGTGAAATAAGCCAAAGTGCAGTTTCCCTTAAATAAATTTATCTTCTTGATGTGGTGCTATGCTTATTTTAGTTGTAATATTTTCATTCTTTCCCAAATGCAGGGAACTTGCAAAAGATTTTGTTGTTGCTGGCTCAGCCTCTGAGTCCCTTTATGGTGCTTGTGAAGCATTTTTCAAGCCTGACATGGTTAGTTAATTTAGCTACTTATGATTTGAAGCTGACCCATAGAGTATGGATTTTGTGACTTGACACCCATGGCATATCATTCTGCTGTTTGTGCAAGACAATATCGGCAACAAATTGATATACTTGCCAGTTAAAAATATAATCCTACTTGAGTGAAGACCATAATTCAATTATCTATGTACAATGTCTTTTTTTCTTGGTGAGTGTATAAGCACTGGGCTGTAGCATAATTTTCAAGTTTAATTTCGTTACAAGTCAAGTTTGAACCATGGTATCTTGTGGTCTCATAAAAGAAAAGTTTACAAACATAAACTGTGTAGTTGTCATTAATTGCATCAATTGCCAGTCTAATGCATGAGATTTGTTATGTCCCTTTTGCAAAAGAAGCTATTGGTATAGCACACAGATCTGGTTTGTGACTCTAATGGACATCTATCCCATATGTTTAAGTTCCCAAGCTGGTTGCCTCAAACAAGCAATCAGTTATGTGGATGGGAATTACTATTATGATTGCTGTCTGAAAGCCTCTTCTTTCTACCCGATCATGAAATATTTATTGACTGTATGTTATGTTCTCTGGTCAGGAACCAGATGAATTATTTGAAGTTGTATCCCAAGCGTTGCTGGCATCAGTAGATCGGGACTGCTTGAGTGGTTGGGGAGGACACATCTATATTGTGTAGGCCTTCCATTAATTTCTCTTTCAATGCATATTCAAATAGTTTATCAAATTGTACATCTTTATGATAGTGTAGTGTTGGATATAGCTTTCTGGCATTGAGTCTTTCAATTGTCACGAGTCTTAACAAATCTTATGTTTATGCTTCAGGACCCCTGATGATATTAAAGAGAAAATCCTAAAGGGAAGGATGGATTGACAGCAGCCCCCCTCATGTCCAATTGGGCACCAGATCTTTCTTGCCAGACCATATACCTGGAGTTTGATTGGAAACATTCTGGTTTCTTTGTTAACGAAAGCTATTATCTTGCAGCAACGGTTAAATTATGTGATTTGGATAAAATTTCGAAGTGCATTAACAAAGTTTAACTTTATTGCCAAGATATGATGTTTTTTTGAATGCGGCCTTTACTTCTAAGGTTGATGTGCTAATTATTGTTATGTTAGGTGGACTTACCAGTCAATCTCATCATATGGATCGGGTATTTCCATGAGTCTTAAAGCCTAGAGGTGCGCGTGCATGGCAGCTATTTTGGCTGAATGATTGTCTGAATACTCGTGAAGGCTTTTTCTGTTTTGCACTTGTAAGCAGAAGCTGGGAATCCAAAATTCACATGTTGGCAAATCGGAGGATGTACTGCAACTTGTAAGTAATCATTGTGACAATCAGTAATGGTCCATGTGGCACTTTTTTGCAATCTAGCTAGGTTCTCACGCGTGATCATCTGAGTCCGTGGATTGCCAATCTGTTATGATAATTTCATAGGATCTCTGTAGACTATTGAGTATTTGATGTTATTACTTGAGACAGTATTTTTTTGAAAATATATTAAAATAATACTTTTTATATATGAATACATCAAAATAATTTTAAAAAATAATTTGTAGTTAAACAAAATCAAATTTATTTAAAAAAAAAAAAAAACACGCTGTCAGACACCATCTTATCTTGATAAAGATTTTATATGGGCTGAGTTGAAGTAAATTGGATAAAAAAATTATTTTGTTGGGTGTGGGTGATGGATTTACTCAAAATACACTTGATCTGGTATTTTTACTATTTTGAATTTTTTTATTAATACATATAATTATTATAAATTTATAAAACAAATTTAATCATGTAATCTTCACTTATTAATTAAATTTTACATAATGAATCATAAAAATTCTTATTGTTAATTTATATGCATGTATATTAATCTTTGTAAAAATCAATCTAAATTTCCATCTTTTATAATTTAAGTTTAATTTATAATTATGAATATGTAATGGTAAAAATAATTAACGAAGAACATATAAAATTAGTATATTAGTTTCCGTTAGTGTTTGTATCTAATATTTCTATATCAAGTATCAAATAGTATATAATGTAAGTTAGATAGTTGATATATCTTAAAAAATTATATATAATATAAAATTATTTAACAAATAATAATTGCATGATTAAACAATATATATTTGATTTCTAAACATAAGATGTCTTGATTGATTTGTATACACAATCATAATAATTATGAATGATTTAGCATTCAATATGGATTGTTATAGTTTTAATGACATAATTTTATGTTGCTAAGTATCTTAGAACATTAATTTTAAATGTAATTTAGAAATATAAAATTATTGACGGGATACTAGTGAGAATTTTTGCACAAATTTATTATAATGTGATTTTGTGGAGTGCCTAAAAAATAAATTAATAATTTTTCAAAAAAATTAAAAATGATTGGATCAAGTATTAGTGGGTCTTCACTCAACTCAACTAAATTAGATGTGGGTCTAGTGCAAGTAATGGTTATGGATGTACCTAGTCATGTCGATACATAAAAAAACCTAACCCGACCCAACCTAACCCATTGACATCCTTAATAAGAATTAGGGATGTCGTTGATTAAAAAAAGAAAAAGAAAAAGGGTGACTCATGGATTGATATGCTCATTGGTCATGTTGATCATGTCTCAGCTGGATGTTCTTTGAGGCCATGGCGTCTTGTGCGCGCGTGCGGGCGGGTGTTTTGAAACAAATCCATGTTTAAATAGAGACCCAAAAACAGCACGTTGGCATAAGCGAACCAACCCCTTTAGCCATTAGATATGACTTGTGATCAATTTTTTATATAATTTAAGAAAAACATTATTTTAGTGTTGTTAATATATTTTCTAACATAGAAAAGATTTTAATTGCGGAGGCAAAAGCTGATGCACATGTTTAATAAAAAAAAAAAAAATGAGGATCATATGCCTCCACAAATATTCAAGAGTTGTTATCACAAGCTAAATACTAATTCATGAAAATAA